ATATTCAATAACAATAATATAATAAGTCGAAGGCATTTTTGAAGAATCAATCTTTCAAAAAGATATGTTTGCTGGTTTGGATAAGGAAGTCTTGGAAGTGGTGATCTTAATAGTGGCGTTAAATAGGTTTGTTTAATACCAACTTGTCTTACCTGTGTAGGCATAGCCTAGCATTTAGTGCAGTACTGTATGTATGTAGAGAATACGACTACTCTACTGCCTGGCGCGGCCGAGGCCCCCCTAGTTTAGGCCTAGGCATACAAACTATAATAATAATATTTTAAACATTAGAGGCAAACAAACAACACTATTTTAAATAAAGTACATTAATTTACATGTTAATTATTAGATCCATGGAACTATCTAGGACCTACTGCTACTACTACAGCATTACTAAAATGCCAGTTTATTCGTCGTGGAATGTGGATGATACCTTGAAAACTAGCTCAAATTTGCGCGGAAAATGGCTTGGAAAAATGTGCACAGAACTTAACTTCTGCATGATACATTGACAATGGTTGTATCCAGATTAGTTCAAAGACTAATTTTCGGCAATCTGCTCGGAAATTCAACCACCTGCCTTGGGCGTGGCCCTGTTGGTTCCATGCTGGATCAAAAACTAGTAGAGGGTCAAATGTCCAGCCATTTTGATGGTCAAAATACAGTGGCATTATTATTACTGTACATTAGAAAAGATTGAGAAACAAGTCTATTATTTGTCTTCATTTGTAATTTTTAAACTAATTTTTATTTTTATATTACAAAAAAAGTGTTATATTAATGAAGTAATAAATTCTATTCAAAATAATTAGGTCGCGGCTATGTTACACCTCTTTGCAATGCATTTGAATATGGGCTTTTCACAGTGATGGTTAATATATATTTTCAACAAAAATTATCATTGATGATTAGTGCCAGAATAATTAATTCCTTATAAAGATAATGTAATATCAATACTAATTGTTTTTTAATGGTGTAAGAATTAAGTGTCACTTTGATTTTTTTTAACTAGTCTGTTCAAACTTGTTATTGTACTTCTCTTCTTACAGGAAATGCTGGTATGTTGGATATTGATGGCTTTCATTTGGTAGGTGTTTAACAGGCTAAAGAAATCTGACAGAATGGTCATCCCATCTTGCACTGTGTGGGCGATTAGGGACAAGTTCCCAGAAGCTTTGAAGACTGCTCTGGTATTTTGATGCTATAGAAGATGATGAAATAAACTTTGTGTTGGAAGAATTTATAAATTGTTATGGAAGATACCTGATAAGTCCATCCTCATTAATGCAACATATCTTATGTAATAGATTATAATATATTACAGATTACATATTATATTACAATATACAGATACTAATTACCATATTTGTACATTTATACATTTCTTTTTAAAACGAAGGTCAACGGCAGCAGCGTCGTATCATATAATTTGCCTTGTGACGTCATTTCTCGATGTAAACAATTCACGGCGGTAGGTAGGCAAAATCTGCCTTTAAAAATTTGATTTTCTCCGTAAATCCCAACTTTCATGACGCAACATCGATATATGATGTTTACATAATATATAGAACCTATTGTGAGAATTTCGTTGACTACTAAGTCTATGCAACGGTTAAGGTGATATTTTACTGGACTATAAAGGCTATAAATGAAGAAGCTTTGAAACCATGTTTTTGGCGGCCATCTTGGAATTCAAAAGAGCCAACATTCATTCAGTCAGGTACTTGTAATTGCATATATTTGTTTAATAAGCCCGATAACATTCACCGTAATTGAGGCTCTATAAGTTCAGATATGCGTTGTAATGCAATTTCCATGGCAGCCATCTTGGAATTCAAAATGGCCGCCATGCAATCAAAATACCAGTGAAAAGTGAAAATTTGAAGTCCCTTGCCATGTAATGTACAACAAGCACCACTTTCAAATAAGCAGCCAAGATAACCATCCAAAAATTTGATAAATACTGCGGGACTTATTTGCACTTGTTAACTGATCGACTTATTTTTAAACAAGATTTAATAATATCAATAATAAACAGTAGGCCTATTAATACTGAAAGTAATTCACGACTCAGAATAGGATGTTTAAATTTTCAACAGACATAAAGGATGATTGTGAGCTGAAGTTAACGATGATTGTAAAATTAGAAAATGTGTTAATTAAATGTTATGTTAAACTTTATTATTTTTCTCCATCCAGTGTTTCGAAAGTCTAATGATTTAATTAGCATTAATATGGTCAATTCATAATACATCTCTGTCCCAACTAAATTATATTAAACACTGTTTCTATTGAATAGCCTACAGTCTGATTTGCTGATATGTGAATGAAAAGCTACAGTATCCATTGACATAAAATATATATTGTGTATAAAATATTGTGTATAAATAGTGTTTATAAAGTAATAGTCGTTCACAAAAAGAATCTGAGACTAAGCACTGAATGTGATATTTTATTTCATTGATACATATTTTATTTCATTGATATATCGGTACACAGCACTGCAACTGTTTAAGCAACTAAAATATACAATGAAGTAAACAGGCAAACAATTTAACATACAACCAGTGGCGTGTCTAATTTTTGAAAACATTCAAACAGATTTTACTAGGAGGTGGTTGCATTTTTTTCTGAGTTTGCTCAGTCAATAATTTTGTGTGATGAACTGATATTATGGTACGTGTTTGCAGTTTTTAAAACTGATGACATTAAAAGTTGAAATGGGTATATCCGAATTTGAAAATATTTTACGTAAAAACGTGGTGGATGAAGTGTTTAAATCTGATAATATTTGTATTGCAACTACTGGTATGACTGTGGGCAATGTTGTTTAGATCATGGAGGAAAACTAATTCTTCCATGTTTAGATAATAACTCTATTGTGTTCTAATATAGGCCTATAGCCGCTAACAAATCTTCCATAAATGCATAACATTTATTTAATCTTAAGTATTTTTGCAAACTACAAATCCAAAGCAAACACTTAGTTCGATTGAAAAAAAAATTAATTGAAAGCAGCCATAATACATGAGACAATTGTGCTTAAAACTAAACACAGCATGATCTTTATAAACTTAAACAACGTATTACTTGTACAAGACGAATTAAACCAAACTGGTATTTCGATGGTGTTTGTCGCCAACCAACAAGTATTACCCGACAATTCATTGGCTAAAAGTTGTCCGGATTTCAACTGACGAAAAACACATAAGCTTATTAAAATTCGAAAACAAATACTTTACTTTATATACATTTTTCTCGATTTAATCAATATTCGGTAAAGTGTTTTTATAATATGGTAATTTAATCAATTACCACTGAACATATTCCTCAGTTAAAAAATCTTAGAAACTACAATTTCTTAATAATACAATAGGTGTAAATTTTTATATTAGGCCTATTATGATATTAAATGACCAATGATCTTCCAATAATGTAAAAGATTTTGTTCAATATTAAGCATTTTTGAAAATTACAAATTAAAAGCAAACACTTTATTTACTGAAAATATTAAATTAAAAGAAATCATCATAACACGAGACATTATAATCATATATCATGTCATAGACCAAGTATTTTGTCTTAACGAGACAGCATAACCCTTAAAAACTTAATATAAATAAGCTAAATAATAATTGTACACTACATCAAATGAAATGCAACGTATTACTCAACAACTTACTGCCTTAAAGTTCACCGAGTTTCAAATGCTGACGAAAAAATACACATAGGCCTATATTTCTAACATCGTATAGGGCCTACAGTAACATGCTTTATCTTTTAAATGCTATGTCCTGTTAGAGAAGAATAGAATACCACTGAACATGTTCGTCATTTTAAAGAATTAAAATTTACACTCTAAATTATTAATAGGCCTGGTTTACATTTTTATATTGCTTGATAATTAGATGTTTTCTCCTTAATTATTATTTTCATCACGTATCATTATCTTGATGATAAGTCTATTTGAAGAACAATATATTATTACTAAATATATTATTACTGGACATTTTCAACAAAAAGTATTAAGAAATATTAAGCAATTATAGTCAGGTTTTGAGTACATTATGGAAATAGAAGCCGAAGGAGACACTATTTCCTTTTAAAAAAAATTACGTGAAGCCCACAGGGCTGAAGGCATTTTTGAAAGAAATAATGTCTCCTAAGTGTACGAAATTACTTGAATATAATTGCTTTATAAGTCAGTTGTGACGTCCATCACCTTTTCTATGGCCTTATAATCAAACTGCTGGTTGTAGCAAAAATAATAAATAACAGAAGATAGAGCAGCGGCTTTCCAATATAGAGGAACATCAGGTTGACATGCATTGTGGGTACACGGAGAGCAATTTTACCCCGTCCGCGCGGCAACGCATATAATGTAAATATTCTTTGATAATAATAAAAATAAAGGCGCCGCTCTGGTTTGCTCTGGTTCGTTTGCTTCCTGTAGTTTCTCCGCTTAGTCAATATGGTCCAATTTTTAGCGCTACTCTATTTTTTCAATTCTTTTATAAGTTAATCACCTTGTTACCTCATAACAAGGTTTAATAGGTTCGCTGTGTGCGTCTAGCAACGAAATATCCCATCGTGATGTAACTGTAGTAGAATCACCCCATCTTTAAACCTTTTGCACACGCACACACAAACAAATCGGACAATTCAGTGCAAATAAAAGTAATGAGGTCACCACCGACTTATAAAATTGCCTAATTAATTGTAGCCATATTCGTATGGTGTTGATAAGTAAATGTATTATCATCCTCAATTATCATTTTCATTTATTTATTTATTAATATCTTTAACCAGGATGACACAATCATTTAAAAAAAATGTTTTTCATTTTGGTCGTGGAAAAAAATAACAAACAAAAAAAACACACACACACAAAACAAACACACAAAACACACAGAGTCAGGCAAAAATGATCCACCTAATCATTCCCGTAACCTTTTTGTTCCCCTATTTTTTTATTTTTTTTAATTTCATACATTTCCTCTTCAGAAACCACGAAGACGGCATATTCTTCAATAACAAAAAACACTTCTAACTACTAAAGACAAAGCAAGTTAAGGCCAAATAGGCCTATACCATGAAATAAGAATTATGACAAACAAGTAAACAGGTGAATCAATTAAACAAATAATTGTTAAATAATCTGCTTTTTGTATACATGCCTATATTACAGCATAGAGAAAATAGAACAAATTTTCTCTATGGTTACAGCGATGCAATCTTGAAAATTATGAACAAAGAATATTCTGTTGTAATCCATGTCACTTATCTCAGCCTTTGTTTAATGTAATGTTTCACGCGAGCTTTTAACAGTTTGGTTTCGTTTTTTTCTTGCGCTGCATTCTTAATAAGTGCATAGAAAATCGAGATAACGAAAGGAATAAAAATTACAGAAATTGACCTAGCTTCCATACTCAAGTGTACTTGGTCGATAGATTGCAATGTATCAACCGCAATGTATGTAATCAAACCAATTATGGCTAACTTAACAAGCATAATCATAACATTAGGACCTAATGGCCTGTACTTAATAATAATCTCATCAAAAAAGTCCTTTTTAATGTACGTCAGACCATCACACCAGTCATTATCCTTTATATAAAGGTTAGAAGGTTGGCCACCATTTATACCGACGTTTGCTTGGTCTGGGTTTGAACTGCTTTCAACAACTTCATCCAGTAAAGTTATAACCTGTCTCAGAAATTTGACGTAACCGGCATGAAAGTTAGTTACAGTGGTAAGAAAATAACCAATGACAAGAAAAGAAACCAAAACAACATTAAAAATATAAGAAGAGTTTGTCAACAGACCTACGAAGAAGTAATATAGAATTTCCAAGAGGTTCATCACCAGCTGATACAAGGAAAATGTAATGAGCCACCCGTAATACAATGGGAAGTATATCATTGCTGCTAACCGTAATTTCCGACTCCGCAGCATCCAACACATACAAAATAGACATATCAAATTCAACGGAGTAGTAAATAATATAATATATATAACTTTTAGACCGAACGAAGCACAACTGCTTTGTTCCCAAACACCTTTCCAATATCTGTAGGTTACTAAAGTTAACAATGTTTGTTTTATGGTATTTTCAACATTTTGAAACCCATGCATGGAATCATCAATTACGTTTGCAGGTAGATAACGACGTCTAACTAGTTGATTTGAAAAGTATTCGTATATATCACAATCAGTTTGTGTGATGAAGTGTCTATACAGGCATAAAACCAATATTGTAAAACCTATAGTGAGCGAATTAATGATGTGTGTTATAATTAAATAATTGGAGGATCTGTATTCCTCTTCGACTAAAACATAGTTCGTAATCAACGGCAAATACTGCCATAGGCCTACGAAGACAAGACAACGAACATAGAATAAACAGCAGTAACGTTCATTACCTGCAAAAAATAAAACGTATTTAAAACCAATATTGAGATCTGTACTTATGCTTATATACTCTGTTCCTTCATAGTTTAACGGTAAATTTCGGCACAAAAACAACAGAATGAAGAAACTGAGATAGTGTAATACACACATGCTTAAAACAGTAACAACCACGATACGAGTTTTATTTGTGTAATATTCATTCTCAATTACAAGTCGCCAACAATAAAAAAAATATTCACTAGCGGAAGGTATAAAATTTTGAGTTAAAAGCTGTTCTAAGCAAATAGCCTGGTCCAGTTTTAAACCCTCTGGTGATTGGAAATTTGCGAGTGATGATGCAATTATATCAAGCTTTTCACTATCATTAGCATTCAAGAAACAGTCCACTAATGAGGAAACGTTTAGTGACACACTCACCACACCCGGCTTAAGAGTACCCAGGGAGAGGGGCACGGCGTTATTTGGATATTTTAATAGTTGAACACCCCTGGGTCCAATGGCTAATACCCAGCGTTTAATGTTGACGATCGTGTCAGTGTCATCGAGGATTTGGTCAATTTCGACGCCGGATGAGTTTACAAACTTCAAGTTCATGTTGATGTAGACACTTCCCTCTCTTTGGATGACTTCCATTGCTTTAGCTCCTTCAATGTCCAACTGGCAGCTAACGTTAGTTGGCATAGTCCTGTCCATGATGCCACGGGATGACACTAAGTAGACGTGGAGTTTCAGGATCAATATCACGTTCAACATAAATCTTGCCATGATAAAATAATTAACTCCTTATCGCTTTACTGTAAAACAAAATGAATTAGGCGAAATAGAAAAACATATTTCTTATTTGCTTTACTTAAAATGCAGTACTGTATCTGTAAATTTACGCAGGGGAATCCAGTATTTTTTGTTACTAGGAGGTGGGCTCTACATAACAGATGGTTTGAATATACCAAGGACTTATAACTGTTACCAGGATAGAAAGCTGGCTGGTTTAAGCCGTCTAACTTGAAGCCTTATGTGTGGTATTGTTAGTTATGTTAATGAGCCATATAAGCACAATCTGCACATGCTCAGAAAACAAAACTTTCCTTTGCCTCACTGCGGCCCGCACTGCCAAGGATTACGGTACGGTAAAACAAAAAGAAAAGGCGTATTGATATCAAAAATTGGCGTTTGTGAGCAATATATTTTAATTTTATATAAGTAAGTAGTAAATATATGAATAATTTTAATGCACTAGTTAGCTGATAGCTAAGCTAGTTAGCTGTTAGCTGATTATAATTTGTTTTGGGTCTTTTTTCTGCATTTTTATAAGCGGTTAGGCATAGCCTAGGCTAGCCTGTGTGATGTTCATTGTTATACTACAAAACAAAATCACATCAATTTAAAATCAAATTTGTGAACATACTTGCCTTATATCTTAACTAGCAGGTAGTTTATTGGTAGATTAGTTTGTTTTTAAGTGTGTAAGTATGATTGATTTGCATGCAAAGTGAAATTAGTGCCCTTATTTTGCTTTGTTTTACCGTACCGTAATTCTCGGCTAGGCCTAGCTGTACGCCAATCCGATACGCAGTGCGGGCCGCAGTGTGGCTAAGAAAAGTTTTGTTTTTCTGAGCATGTGCAGATTGTGCTTATCTGGCTCATTTATAAACAATACCACACATAAGGCTAATTCCAGTTAGACGGCTTAAACCAGCCAGCTTCCTATCCTGGTAACAGTTATAAGTCCTTGAATAAACAAAACCATAGAGTCAGTGGCGGAGCCACTATATTTCTGGGTGTGGGCTGTCTCTTATACACATCTAGATGGTACTTTAACATTGTGTTGCAACAAGAAAAGTGTGTAGAGAATACTGTGAGTTTGTATAAATGCCTGTGATTGCCATGTATAGGCCTACTGTACTGTAAACTAAAACTACACAATATAAATTAAACATCCATAGAGTGGTTTTAGAAGGACAACAGCGAACATTCTCGGTGGAATGGAAGTCGCCCGTAGTTTTGCAAGTCAAAACTACGAACTGGTTGAGCTGAATTCGAGCATCACCGACATGTAGAAATGTCAATGAAACTCATTAGCCACCTCGGGAGGGGGGGGGGCAGTGGTGGGAGGCAGGCCAAACTCTAGGGGCCCTCCCCCACTTGGCGACGCCACTGCGTAGAGTACGGTCTCCTAATGACGCGAATGTGGTGGTGTGGTGGATAAACTAATATTTTTAGTGGCATTAAATACAAGTTTTAATTTAGGCAAATTTACTAGCTACTATTTCACAGTCATTGTTTTACTTGTGGTATCGTACGGAATACTGAAAAAAGTTATTCGGGTGGGAATCAAACCCATGACCTCCAGATAGCCTAACTAGCCTGGTGTCATAACCGCTAGACCCCCAATCTTGGCATGCAAAATAATGTTATACGGTATATAATGTGATTTTAAGATACGTGCGGGAACAACCGAACAAGTCGAATATCTAAAACATTAAAAAATGTAACAGCTGTAACGTGTAACGAATATAATCATAAGTATGTGAATCATAACCCTTCAACGAATTGTCTCTGGTGGTAGTATTCGAACCTACTCGATCCTCTCTCCATATCGATGAAGAGTTATTTGCTCGATTTCAGTGACATATCGGTTTGCAAATTTTGCCAGGAGATATTTCCTTATACAACTGACTGACATCATAATGTTCCTATTCGAGCACTGTTATTATTATTGACACTTTTTATAGTGTGTATAAAAAACACAAAAAATATAAAATACATAGTAAATGAGACACTACTTACTACTACATTGAAGTGTATTTTGCAAAGTAATATTGGAAGCTAATCGACCTACAAAACTTCTTTTTTTTCAGAAATGGAAATTACAGTGTTGTTATTAATAGGGCCATATCTGTACCATCTTACTGTATTATGTATCTTCATGGAAGCTAATACAATGTTATCAAAACACTGGAGACTAGAAATCTTAATCAACAGTTGTTAACGTAACTCGGTTAAAGTAGAGGGTCTGGTATTGTATACGAGAGATAGGACTTATTGTATAATGTTATAATGGAGATCAAATAAACTTATATCTCCATACATACATACAAACAGTAAATACACATTATCATATTTGTTTAAGAAATGCGTCTTTCATATCTCAAGCAATGCTGCAGTAACAACTGCAAATATGCCGGAAAAAAATACTGTGATAGCTACTGATAAGTATACAGGCTCTTGTTACATATTTAGGTTGTTAGAGCAATTAATCAAATAATATTGTTCCATAGTTAAGTCCGAATTTGATTTTTTTTTTTTATTGTAGGGTATGAGGAAAACTATCTTGGTAGACTAAGTCCTTAGGATCTGTAAGATACTAGCCCTGAATGAATAGTTGGGATAGGCCTTAGTGCGAGTCAGGGATATAAATTTTCCTAATCCGGATTGAATAATTCATGATTTAGGTTTAGGCCGACAAATAAATTATTTAACATGAACCACCATCTTTTAGATTACGTATTTACGTAATCGAGTAATGTGTAATCGGCTACACGTTTCACAAAGATTCAAAACTAAGTAGTAAATTAAGGATTAAAAATCAAAGAGGCATATAACAGTATTATAAAATGAATATCATACACAATAACTTCCTCAAATATACTAATCTAAAAGATGGCGGTTCACGTTAAATAATTTATTTGTCGGCCTAGATAAACCTAAACCATTAAACAGTAAAATGTTTTTATTACGTTTAGTAACAAAAACAATGTCTTGTCATATGGTCGCATCGCACAGTTATTTATTTAATAAGTATGTGAGCATCGTGATTAGCTTCAATAAAAAAGAATAATATTTCATGAGAACTAATATCTCGTTCAGTATGAATTACTTTAGTTACAAAATGTCAGAAATGCGTTGTTTAGATCATGTTTTATGATTTACAAAGCGTGCTTCATTGAGTTCAGTCAATTAGCGTTGCATTAAGGTACAGGTTTTGGTAGCAGTTTCATATATCGTTTTTTATAACATAAAAATATTTTTGAAACCTCTAAAATTATATACAACAATTCCTTGCATTTGTCTCCATCATTTTCCTTAGAAAACGTTTTTATTTGCATTAAAATTACCAGTATTATGATTAATGACATTTAACTAAGATATAAATTAGAATTAGAAAAAAACAAACAGTTTAATCTTCAGTAGAGCTTTAAAAAATGATGACAAAAGACTCATTATGTATCTGCAAACCTGTACACAAAATAGTTTTCTCTTTTTCTAAAAAAAAGTCAAAATTAACAACAGAGGGCACATCGTGCTGTTCTCATTGGTCGGTTCAGTTTGATTGACACTCCCGAAAGGTCCATTTTTGGATCGCCGTGGACAGGGGAAAGAGAACCAGTGGTAAACGGAACGATGCTCTACACTAGGTTATGTGTCTTGTTTGCTAAGTTGGTATTGGTCCATGTGCGGAGAAGTGTAATCTTGTTGCCCTCTGATTTAGAACGTTCTTTGGGTTTATAGTGCAGAAAATACAGGAGGGTCTTAGTTATGTAAATCTTTCCTAGGGATGTGTTGAAAAATATCTTTAATTTATTTCAGTGTAAAATTTGCTTCTTTTGTTTTAGCAACCACTAAAGACAAAATAATATTTGGCAACTAAAATCTGTCACTTTTCAGACTGAGTGACAGGGTAACAAATTTCTGGTATCGTACCAGTACAAGGTACAGCAATACTAATTTTTTTCCTTTACACAAACATATTTTACGAAATAGAAATTATGTTTATAGTTGATATTGCATGTTTGATAATGATATGAGTACTAAGAAGTTAATAACGAATCAAGATTATGACTATCCAAACATTTTACTATCATTCGTTATTTGTTTTCCACTCAAAACCCATGATAGTGAATGGCCCTCTTATCAGGACGGATTCTGTTTTCTGACGCTCTAAAAACTCAACTGGAGCTATTTTAAAGACAACGACAGAGGCAGCGAGAATGACTACTGGAGAACAGTTCCGTTTAGGCCTGATTCTGTAGTGCAGGCTATAGTTTCTTGGAAATTGTACAGAAAAACCAGAATACAATATAACATTGTGAAGTTGTTAGAAAAAAGGCACTGACAATACCGTCTTAGTGTTTAAATGGACGGGCTTCGCGTCTATATTTTTGTTAATTAAATAGGTCTAATACAACGTCTTGGTAAACTCGAATGCAGTTTATAGATTTAACCAACCCTATAAAAATTATTCTATCAATGTAGAACTAATTATGGTAATATCATCAACCTATTATTGTAATCTATAGTCTTTGTAAATTTAACGATGCATGTATTGATCATAAAATTATACACTGCACAGCTGTCCGTCCTTTGATCAAGGACTTATAACTGTTACCAGGATAGGAAGCTGGCTGGTTTAAGCCGTCTAACTGGAATTAGCCTTATGTGTGGTATTGCTATGCTAATGATAAGCACACTCTGCACATGCTAAGAAAAACAAAACTTTCCTTAGCCACACTGCGGCCCCCACTGCGTATCGGCTTGGCGTACAGCTAGGCCTAGCCGAGAATTACTCAAACCGGGAGCCCCCCAGCCTGGTTGCTCGCTGCGCTCACAAAACGCACCCCCACCCCCCATTCAAAGCTGGATACGGGCCTGATGTACGGTGTACCTGCTCTGTACCCATATCAAAAAAGATCCAGTGACGTGTCACACGGTTTTCATTCCCTTTCAAAATATTCAGTACAACCACTTTACTAAAAATTGTTTTTTCTTAACAAACGAATTAATAATCTTCGCATTACTTTTGCCATACAGTATTTCAATATACTTTTGTGTAATCCTGTCTGGCCGATTTAGTAGCTTGTATTTTTGTATATAATCGAGACAAAGGCAAAATAAATTAAATTAAATTAAATGTTAATATATTCCAGTCTAATATGTTTTAATTAACATTAGCGTTGCTAAGGTCAATTCATAAATGAATTAAAGTAAATAGATAAATAAATAAATAAATAGATAGATAGATGAATAAATAAATAAATAAATAAATATATAAATAACATAAAATAAATGAATGTTTTTCAAGTTATGGCAAACACCTATGATTTGCTAATATGTGAATGTGAAGTTACAATATCAGGCTCAACATTGACAAATCATAGATACTTGTCACACCCATACCTGATAGTGTATATTGAACTTTAATTAATATTCAATTATTAAAAGAATTTGAGACTATGTACTGAACATGGTCATTTTATTTTATTAATACATCCACACATTGATATCGGCACACAGCACAGCATTTTTAAGCAGCTAAAAATATTCAATAAAGTAAACAAGCAAGCAATTTAACAATACACCCAGTGGCGGATCCATTATTTGGAAACAGTATAGATTTTATTATGGACGTGGTCACAATTTTTTTTTCTGAATTTGCATGGCCATTATTTTGTATGTGATGAAGTTATTTTATGGGGCTTGTTTTGCAGGTTTAAAAGTGATGACATTAAAAAAAAAATGGGTATATCCAAATTTGATAACATGTTATTTAGCGACATGACTGGAGTTTTTAAATCTGATAATGTTTTTAGTGCAACCATGAACACATGGTTATTGGTATTATTTATTGGTTTCCTTTTTAAAGGTTTTTGTGAGTGCCAACGTAGCCGAAAACGGTGGCCTTCATATATACATTACATTTAATGTGTTCTCCTGTGGAACCGCCAACGGATCTTCCATAAATGTATAACATTTTGTTCATTTTAAAGCATTTTTGCAAAATACAAATCAAAAGCAAACGCTTCAATTTAACTAAAATATTAAATTTACATTACTTTCCACATAGCAAATTTACATGTAAAGTGGGTCGGAACCATATTGTTTAGTTTTTACGCATGAATGGGTTCACTTTTTAACATTTTTATAAAGTAATATTGTATAGCCAGAGGGTAATAGTTTCGTCCAATAAGTTGTTCCTAATAGGAACGTCACTATGGTCACCTTGAATTCTTCGCCGCAGTAGGCCTATCTAAGTATCTAGTAAGTCTCTCCTTGGAATAACATAGGCCTTTATTTAACGTATTCGTCAGTGATTCGAGATAAAAAGAAATAAAAAAGGTATACAGTATGTTAGAACACAACGAACTTTTATTCAACGTGACTCAGGCGACCGACCAACTGTCTGTTTCCCTGAACTAGCGCGAACGAAACGCAGAACGAAAGAAAGAAACTCCGCTTTTCAGTCGTCTTAGGCTCTTGTTTTTTGACAAACAGTGACTTTCAGAGGTCAAATTGCTGTCAAGAATATGAATTGGCTGCTTCGCAGCAATAAGGAATAATATTCATAGGCCCTATCAAGCGTTTTGTCCTTTAAACAACACACAGCATGACGTTAATATAAACTTACACAAAGTAATAAAAATGAAAAACCAAGAGCAACTGACGAAAAGGTAGACATAATAGTCCTAATTTTCGTAAACTAACACTGTGTCTTAATTACAACAATTATATGGTTTTATTATGGAAATGCTGTCCTGTTCGAAAACATTACCACTGTACATGAATTAAATAAAATTTAATAATTAATATGTATACACAGGTTTCATATATAAATTTTGATTTAATTTTGTTGGGGATGGTCAAAGATCACAGAAAAGTGGAATTTACAAAAAATATATATTATTTCGGTATTCAGACCAGGACTGAAGTAAGCATTCTTTTTGAATTTGATGATATTATGAAATTCGAAAAAATGGTATATCCGACTTTGTTTACATTATAGTGTGTGAATTACGACAATATTTCGTGTCTAAATTCGATAAAACAGCAGTGAAGGTCGCCAAAAACCACTAAATTTGGTCATTTTTCAAATTCTTTTTGTAATAACTTCGCAAATACTTCATCGATTTTTTTTTTGGGAAAAGATAAAACTGATCGGAATTTAATAATCATTACAACAATTACAAATTTATAAGTGTAACGTTAACACCTTTATCGGACTTTTGATTTTTATCAAACCCACTCGTGTATTTTTTCTGCGTAAAAACAGTGAAATCTGCCGAAATATCCCAGCTGTCTTTAACATAAATCCCTCTACAGTCGAAAGTTGTGGGCCGATTTTTTTTGGAAAAAGTCCATTTGAAAGCCCTTTTTGTCTTCTAAATGTATTCTAAATATAAGATTGATCGGTTGAGTAGTTTTATCGGACCAATCAGAAATATGAAAATCATCCAAAACTCCTCCCCATATGCTTAAGCATTACAAGCATATGGCAGTCTGACGCTCACGTGGATGCAGAGCTTGAAATATACTCTGGAAAAACAGATAAAATGACTAAATTATCCTTATTTTTAAACACTAAAATTATGATCATAGGCAAAAGAAAAGGATAGAGATTCAAATGATGTAAATTATATGCAGTAAAAATGTATAGATTTTTATTACGAGCAGTATATAAATGTCAGTTTTTGTAAAACACTCCATTCTTTCGAGCGGTTCACTGGTTTGAGATGGACGATTCCATTTTCTTATGTGTACATGACTATGTACATGTGAGTGGTGAAGACTGTAAAGCAGGGTAGAATATGTCTTCTTTTGAGGCTAAAAATAAAACTGTTTTGTATCTACCAAAGATTTTTACTCAAGAAATGTGATACTGAATGGTATTTAGATAATTATGTATGTTGTTTAGAATAAAAATTGAAAGTCCATATGAAAATGTTATAGCGTTTAATTTGTAGTTGTGGAACCCCCTAAATTACAAATGAACTGTTCCAAATCCGTTACGCGCTTGACTGATCACCCACAGTGTACCGTTAGCCCATGAGGAAGCTACCTTGAAGTCGAAGTCAGGGAATAAAATTGCACTGCTAGCAAAATACTGTCGTAATGTGGCAGAAGTTTCTAATTCCGATAATTTATTTATGATGAACCATTTGACTCATGGCTATAGACCGATGTAAATTTCTTGCTAGGTATATATTATCTGAAGTACATCAATAAAGGTCTCCCTTTAATTAAAGAATAATTTTGGGACCGGGGTTCTTGGTCTTAAGCAGTTGGCCTCTAATTAGAATAATATAGATAAAAGATATTTGTCTATTTGGGACCACAGAAAAGTGGCATATTTTTTACTGCAACTCACCTTTTATCAAGAGTCAGCAAAATTTGAACGAGAAACTCAAACAAATAACAGGAAGAAAATCTTGAAGACTTAAATTTTTTTTCTCTCTCTCTCATCTAGACCTCAACTCTGAAATTTATTTCTGGTGGATTTTTGGGCGGTACGAAAATAGCAAAATATAAGTACATTGCCAGGGTAATCAAAATAGTTTTTCTAAGATAAGGAAAAACAAAAACAGAGGGCGCACCATGCTATTCTGATTGGTCAGTTAAGTTTGATTGACACTCCGGAAAGATTCATTGTTTTTGATCGATACCAGGAGGATTTTCAGATTTTTATATCTCGCAGTTCGAATATTGAAACTCGTGGTCCGTTGGTATCGGCGTTTGAGCGGAGATCCGGAGACTGTAGTACCTATAAGACGTAAACATTCGTTTCGTTGCCCTCTGATTTAGGACGTGGTTTAGGCAGAATCTAGGTTGTGCAAGGAATGTAAGACGGTCTCGGATGAGTGAATTAGGCTGCCTAATATCTTTGATTAATTTCCGTATAAATTTTGCTCTTATTTTGTCTTAGCAACTACTAAAGACGAAACCAAGGAAGGTAAAATAGGGTTAAAGTCAGTGGTGGCGCCAGAGAAGGGCTAAGAGGGGTTAGAGCCCCCTATCGGGGAAGCATAACACCCACTGTCGGGGAAGACGAGTAAATTTTGTCGGGGAATAAACAAATAGAAAAAAAAATTACATAATATTCGTAATTCGTAATATTCGTTTAGCCACCATTGTTTTCATTTAACTCTTGCAAAATAAGGAGAAGTCTTGGGCCGTAGGCCAGCGGCCTTGCCGGTTTCCAGGGGGTTTTGTAGGCCTACTGCATAGTGATTGATATGTACTGCATGATGATTGTGAACTGAAGGCAGAGGAGGCGTTCCATAGTTATATTGTTATAATTGTATCTATATTGTTATAATTAATATAATAATGTGGATCCATTTTATCCAGAATTCTGTGAAGGATTAAACGGTTACAAAATTATTGTACCGTGCTGGTACAAGTTACAGCAATACTAACCAATATACTATGTGAAATGTATATTGTTGACCGTTGCACAAACTACACGATACTGAACCATGTTTGCAACTGATAGTGCACGTATAATAGTAGTGATATGAGATATCATACACGGATTTGATAATGAATTATGACGATGCCAAAACATGGCTGCCAAGCGTTGTTTGTTTTATTGTTTACTCACACATATTCTATAGTGAGTGGCTACCCACAGGATGGATTCTGTTTTCTGACGCTCTAAAAACTCAGGTGATGACGAACAAAAAATGATAACAACGGCCGAGGCTATATACAGTAATGTCTTGGACACTGTAAAAAAAGAGAAAAAAACAGAATATAAACTTTTTAGAAATAGGGGCAATGACAATACCATACTAATGTTTAAATTGACGTGCCTCTCGTCTATATTTTTAAGTATATAGGTCTAACACAACGTCTTCGTAAATGCAAATGCAGTTTATATATTTTCGCTATATAAATTCACCATATCAATGTAGACCTAATTATGATAATATCATTAAATTATACACTGCTCTCATCCGTCTTTTGATTGAGCATTGTGTACCTGATTGGTACCCATATTAATGTGGTTACAATAAAAAATCTAGTAAAGAACCAAAGACGTGTCTCAATTTGCTTTCCATTTCTAAATATACCGTATGAGCGACGACTTGATTTACTAAAATTGCTTTTTCTTGAAAAAAGAATTAATTTTCTTCACATTTCAATTCTTTTGTCTGTAAGTATCTCTATGGCGTGGATTACATTTACCCTCACTCTTTTGTTAAAATTAATACTCGTCATAATAACAATCTCAAGCATTCATTTGCAAGAATTACCTGTTTTTAAATTATACGGTTATTAAATTATTTCGACTTTGGGAATCTTTACCTCAGAGCTTAACAACATGTTTCTCAACAACCATGATTTTGATTTTCTTTCCCACATTTTATTTAAATGTTCTTTTTTAAAACTATATACAATCATGGTGTTACAGAATACATGACACCGCACACTCGCTATTGTTGCGTATTCAAAAAGAAGAAAAGTAAAATAATTTATGCAAGACATTTTAGATATTTTCTAATATTAGGCCCCATAAACAAGAATTATTAGTTTATCACCCCTCCCTCATCACTTGTGGGGAAATTCTGAATTATCATTATATATCATGATTATTATTAATACGAAGACGAATAACTCTGATATCTACTTTTGTGGAACAGCCATCTGATTTTTTTTTATCACTGCAAACGACAAAGCAAAGGCAAAAACTTAATTTAATCAAAAAGTATTGGGCTAAAATTTAAAACGATAATTCTCATTACTATTATTATCATTATGGACTTTTCCTTTTGTATATAAATAATTAAATAGGCCTAGTTCACCATCTAATTTGAGACCCCTCTAATTCAGATACCGCTTAAATTCGAGACCTCTTTTCAAAGTACATGAGTTCACCCTCCCCTCTAAGGCCCCGCTAATTCCAGAATGTGACCAGCTTTTTAAAGTCCCAAGTGACAAATGATTTCTAATACGAGGCCGCGTTTAAGAAAAATGGCATTTGTTCAACTCATTGAAAAAAATAGTAATCAAAAATACAGTATATAGATATTTGTTTTCACTGATCATGACAAAACATATTTGGTTGGTGTACATTATCATCCAATAAGACAATATGATCTCCTTCAATTCTATGATAATAGTAATTGTTTCCTAAAATAATAGTGAATATTAAGGTCAAATGGCCTTCATTGGGAGGTGACTGATTTTCTTTAACAACCTTTTCCTCTAATGTTATGACTTGTTTCATAAGTTTGGAGTAACCGTTATAAAAGCCATTTAACGTGGAAATCATATAACCAATAATCACAAAAGCTTCCAAAACAAGATAAAGTTGTTCTCTACTCCCCACTGATAAAATGTAGTACATTATCAGAAATAATGGCCCTACTAAAACATGTGATGAGCATACATTTGTTTAATAATCCAAATACTGTACACAATATATGCACCCACGATCATTATATGTTTTATCCCAAAATTGTTTCCAAAATTCGAATGTTATTAGCTATTTCAAGATTTGCTTTATTTTATAGTGGACACCCGGTCTAAGAGTACCCAGGGAGAGGTGCACAGCGTTACTTGGATATTTAAAAAGCTGTACAGCTGTAGGGCCCTCCCCCCGTCGGGGAGAGCTGGCTCCCCCGTCGGGGAGAATAAGCACAATTTGTCGGGGAGAAAAAAAAAATTATATGTATTTTCTACATATTAGTAGACTATAAAATTGATTAAATAAGCCTTTGAAACCCCTAAATTGTCAACATTTTCGAGAGCTTCGCCCCCAGGACCACTTTTGATACCTTTTAATCGAAGCTCGACCATGCCCACTTTGCTTTCGTCGGGGAAATCTGACCCCCCCGTCGGGGCATCGGTCCCCTCGTCGGGGACCTCGCCCCACCCCTGGTAGACACTTCCTTCTCTTTCGATGACTTTCGATAAAAATGGAAGCTATGCTACCTAAACAACCCGGTTTTTCAGAGATGGAAATTACAATGTTGTTATTAATAGGGCCCTATCGGTACCATAATTAAAGTTACTGTAATACCGTGGTATCTTCATAGAAACAAATACAATGTTATCAAAAAATGGAGCCGACATGGAAAGCCATCTTAAATCAACAGTTGTATTATTACGCGACTCAATAATGATATATTAGACTTATGATGTAATGTTACAAAGGAGATAGAATAAACTTACGATATCTCCATAATTCACAGTACAGATACATTATCATATTTGTTAAAGAAATGCTTTTTTCAAATCTCTGACAACTACAAATTTCTATCTTCATAGAAACATAACAATGTTAAAAAAACGAACCTCCCACAAATTAAGTCACGCTACGGGCCTGATTGATCTGTTAGAAGAGCGTCAAGTTTGGAAGAGGATGGATCGCAAGAAAATTTGATCTCAGAAAACCTTGTGTTATATGTGTGTATATCAGATACGTTAGTGAATAAAGTACTTACATTGGCTGGAATAATACATTTACATAAAAGCAGTATAAAAAATGTTTAAATCACCACAGATTCTCACAATTCCTTTTTAGTTCCTATGCATGTAATGCAATAGGAACTATTGTAATCACTCTGGCTATTTCCTATGTTTTTTATTGTGTGTAGTGCGTGTGTGTGTAGACATTTATGCAAATGCGCATGCGTCAAAGAAAAGTTTTCCGACATTTTGTTTTACATCGCGATGCGAAGATTGATGTGAAGTTGATGTGAAGTTTCTGCAGAATTCAGTCAGGGCTCACGCTAACCGACCGGAAAGTCGGCATGGATGAAACTATTTTGGTTTTACGGAAAAAAAAATCAACTGCTGTATGCATAGGTATTTTGAAGAAGGCCTAAAATAAAACTAAAATGTTTTAAAACTTGCTGAAATACATCGTTTTTTCATTTAGATCTCCATTTTTCACTAAGTCCATGCGACGTTTTTTTCTGTTGTATACGTACGTATGAGTAAGTCATATGAAGGTACTATATCCCCGACAGTTGGCTGTGCAGCAATGTACCCTTTGAATGCAAACTGAAAACAGGTGAAAATATAAAGGCAGCCGACTGCAGGGACGTATCCAGGGGGGGAGCCGTGGGAGCCGCGGCTCCCCCCCCCCCCTTTGTACACAGT